AAGATAGTCCCTGCAGCGTAACATCCGAGAGTGGGAGCTCCGAGAACAATTCAACAGGAGATTTCGGGTCGAGCTCTTCGACTCGGAGCGCTAGGGTGTTGAGGTCTTCTTCATTTCGCTTGCGTTTTAAATTCTTGCCGGACTGGCGAAAGGGCTTTTGGGCCTTTCCGGTGCGCGGATTTGCCGGAGCCATGATCAGCTCTTCCAGAATCAATTGTCACGTCCGCCGTGCGGCTTGATTGTCGTTGAGAAACTTTTTCGAGCTTCACGAGTTCGCTTAGTCAGCAATATCGATAAGAACAGCTCCCGATTCATCCTCGGACGAACATCGCCAGCTCAAGAGAAGGACGAACAGGACTGCTTTTAGAAGGATTATATTGAGATATGGCTGTTGACGAAGATTTAGAGGCACTTAACTCTCTAGAGAAGGAGGCCTCTGAGTTCACAAAGGTAGGCACCCGCGCTTCGGGGCGCTCCCAGGGGTGCACGAAACTAACAGGCCTTCATTCTAGGATGCAGAGATCGACCGCATAAGAAATGCATTCCAATTAGATGCGTATGTATCTCTCTTGCCCATAAAAGCTAGAGCTCCCTTCCTGATTGACAATCATTAGCTACACCGTCCTCGACCTGCAACCCGGCGTACCGGAATCTGACATCAAGATCCAATACCGCAAGAAGTCCCTCCTCATCCATCCCGATAAAACATCCAACCCCCTCGCCCCCGATGCTTTCGACCGACTCAAAAAGGCCCAGATGACTCTTCTCGACGAAAAGGCCCGCGCCAACCTCGACGAGTCCATCGCCGACGCCCGTCGGCTTCTCATTCGCGAACACAAGTATTCTCTTGATGCTCCGGAGCTCAAGACGGAAGAATTCAAAAAGGAGTGGCGAAAGAAGACGGTGCAGGTGCTGCTGGAAGACGAGGCGAGGCGGAGACGGCAATTAAAAGCGAAATTACAGGAAGAAGGCAGGGAGAAGAGGAAGGAGGAAGAGGAGCTGGAAGCAAGGAAGAGGAAGAGAGACGACGAGAAAGCGTGGGAAGAGAGTCGGGATGATCGGATTGGGAGCTGGAGGGATTGGCAGAAGGGGCAAAAGGGTAAGGGAGAGAAAGAGGGCGGGAAGAAGAAGAAAAAGATGAAAGTGTTGGGTTGAGTGCTGCATTGGATGTAGCGGGTTGGTACTTCCCACTGCATTCCATTGCTTGCTTGTATGGACGGTTATCGGGATGGATATGGCGTTTTATAATAGGTCCGGTGTTTCCTGGAAAACAATACCCTTATGGTGGTCGCTATGTGTTTGAGTTGTTTCGAACGGCAGTTAATCGTCTACGAAGAAGCTTACTTTTTACGCCCGTATATATTAGGATTTTGTTTTCTTACGCACATATGTGCAATCAAGGTCAGTCGCCTTTTCACGGTTTACGTCTCTTTGATTTCGTATCTACCATTTCTGTCGTGTTCATTACAGAGAGACCACATGTTCTACACAACGCTTGATGGTATCTAGCTATTCTACATCACAAGTATATACAGATGATGGCTGTCGTAGACTAGAACGATATATGCAACGAATAGGCACACAAATAGAGGAAGCACCAGGGGAATAAAAAGAGACCAAATCACCTAGCACACAAGATTAATATTAGGCAGCCCAAAAAACCCTTAGAAAAGAACACTTTTACCCACAAAACATCCGCCAGTTTTCTTTAAGCCAAAGCATTTCGCTTTTTCGCATCATCAACTGACCGTTCCCAATCGACTCTTGACAGATATACACCCTCGATCAAGCCGACAAGAAGTAAACCGATGGCAACGCCGCCCCATAGACCCCACAGATGCCATTCTAGACCAAAGGCAGTCCCAAAACCGATCGGCAAAGCAACCACATAATAGCAGAATAGCTGGACGTAGCCACCGAAGGACTGTCTGCCAAGACCACGTAGAATACCATTGCAATTCGTCGCGAAGGAGTCACAAACCTGGAATGAGGCGCAAATAGGGAGCACTTGCGCAACGACGGCGACGACATCAGGATCGGAGGTAAATAGAAAGGGAATGTAATGCCGCAGAGACGATAAGAGTGTAATGTTGATTACTCCAAGGATAATAGCGCCTACCATACTGACCTTGGCGGTGACGCGTGCCGAGTCCGTCAAAGTCGCACCGATCAGATTTGCAATGCGCGTGCTGGCCGCAATAGAAAATGGGAAGGGGATTTGGAACATGATACTGGAGATCGTAGCAAGCACCGACTGAGCAGCAAGGACAGTGGTGCCAAAATAGGAGGAGGCGAGTGTGAGCAGTTCAAATGCGAGGACTTCAGCCTCAACCATGAGAAATCCCGGTAGAGCGAGGCGAATCATGGGTCCCCAGTTGGCAAACGCACGACGGGTAAACCCGTTCCAGCACTCTCTGCCACCAATGAAATAGACGTATAGGAACAAGAGGAGCGGGAGAAGATTATCTGTAATAGCGACAGCGAGAGGGGCGCCAGTAAAGCCCATTCCAAAATGCTGATTTCCATGTCAGTATACATATAAACTACCACGGGTTAACTGGTGGTGGTGGTACGGAGTACTACTTACCCAAACAAAGAGCCAGTTCATGAAAGCATTGAGAGGCGCACAGATGATAAGCACAAAGAGCGGTGCCGAGAAAAGGCCTTGCGCTTGAACAAACCGCTTGCCCGCCTCAAAACAAGCGTAACCTGGAGCGCCCAAAAGGACAACCTTCAGGTATCGTCCAGCCAATATGGCGACTTGTTTTTCTGGCACAATGGCCATGAGGATTTTATCAGCAAAGATCCATACAATGCCAATTGGGATCGTGAGAGTCCACAGGAACCATATCATTCTCTGCATCTGCAGGCCTACCAAGTCTTTTCGTCCAGACCCATACGCCTGGGCACAGAGGGTGTCCAGACTGGTTGCAAGGCCTTGGTATATCGCATAGCCGGAGATATTGGCTGTCATACTAGCCAAACTGACAGCGCCAAGTTCTATTTTTCCCAAATGGCCGACGGTGAATATACTGGCCACGGTCAGAGAGTACTGGAGCAGGAACGAAACCATCAACGGCGCCGTATACTTGACGAGGACTTTTGCTTCACGCTGCCATGTTGTGTGAATCAGGCCTGCTTCCACGGCTTCCTCCCAAGTCTTGTCAATGATTCTGGCACTGTCTGATGTTTTGACACCTTCTAGGGGTGGCCCTAACAGAGCCGTCGTTTCACTGGGGCCAGCAGCAACCGGGAGCGCCGTTGGATGAGCCATGCTTACTTGCGGCGGCTCTCCGTGCGACTGTCTAAGGGTCTGGGACAGCAATCCGCTTATCTTCCGCTGTAGGCCCTGTTGTTTATGAGAGACAGCGCTCGTTGGGAGCACATTGTTGTCGATCAGCAAATCCCTCTCTTCCTCAACCGCTTCCTCCCATTCCTGCTGGGTCAACCGGTCATGGTCCATGGCATGTGGCACCACAGTCCCTCGTGCTCCCACGGTAAAAAAGCTTGGTCTTCGATATGAACCTGCGAGGGAGTGACTGGTGGTTCGAGCTAAAGGAGACGTCCCAAGGAGCGGGTCGTCCTCCACCATATCAGGGCGTCCGTTCGCGGCCGCATCATGGTTGCCGGTCTCGTCGGAGTTGTCAAAGGGCGGCGACATTATGGTTAGGGAACAAGCTCAGGGACATGCGATGGTTGTCGCCAGCAGGATGATCAGAATGAAAAACTCAAAGGAAGTCAGCGAGAGGCGAACAGCTGAGCGGGGGGAGATATAGCCATGGCAAGCCAAGAATAACTAAGTGAGCGCAAGCTTATGCACGGAGCAACAGGGCTAGTTGGGAGCTTGTTGGATGAACTCACGGTGATGCCACACCGGCGGAGAAAATGAGCCAAATCCTGCGCAATAGGGAGGATCAGCAACGCATCTCGACTAATACGCCCATGACGATTTTCAACCCAACGCACATATTCCAATAGTTGGCGATCCAAGGATTTTCCCAGCCCGCCTCCAATCCGCCACTCGATTGCAACCCCTGATCGGAGCTGAACCGGTGAGCTGGGGATGACTAACAAGTCGAACTCCGAAGAAAAAAGTGGAAACCAGGCATACTGCCCGTGCTCACCGCCCTCGCTCTCGGCACGGACCAATCACGTGTACGCTAGTTATGTAAGACAGTTGCTAGCGCAAACTCTGTCTGACATATGCCACGTGACGACTCGGACCGAAACGGCAGTCACATGACCAGCTATTCCGTCACCCAAAAAGAGCAAAAGCGACGGAGGAAGAGCCGATATCATCTGATCGATAGATGCAAGATGCGGGACTACTCACGGCTTCACACTTGCTCTCCCCCAGAGTGTACAGATAAAGAGTGAAATGCACCATCATGCCTCGAGAACCGAGCGCCGATGTCGAAGACGATGTCTTCCGCAACACCTATAACCCGCTGGCGAATCCCCTCAACGTTAAGCCAGTGCACCTCACCGGGTACTTTCCACCACCATTCTCCCCACTTGACTCCCTCCAGAAATCCCTTCATTTTGCTAACAGCCAATCTCTCCAACTGCAGCCACCTCCTCGCCGCCGACCACCCCCTCTTCCTCTCCCGCCCCCTCCTCGGCACCCTCGTCCTTGACAACAAAGCCTCCGACTGCCGCGACCACTGCGCCAACGAGCGCACCTTTCTCTCATGGCTCCGTCTCTCCATGTATCTCTGCATCGTGTCCGGCGCCATCGTACTCTCCTTTCATCTGCGCGGCGAGCCCAGTCGACTGGAGCGCCGCATGGCCCTGCCTCTCGGCATCATATTCTGGGCCCTCTCGCTCGTGTGCCTGGCTAATGGTTTTGTGATATACGTACGCACCTTGACCAACTATAGCCGGCGCAAGGCGCTGGTGCAGAGCGGCTGGGGCTCGCAGACAGTGTTTATAGTCGTTGCCATCTCCATCGTTGGCACGTGTGTGATTCTACTGAGTACGAACCGCGCAAGTTGAAAACGGAATAGTCGCGGAATTCGTCCTCTTTTTTTTACTACCTTTTTTTTATAGACCGTGCACTTTTGGGCAGGCTCGTTTGGCATTCTCGTGCATGATCTTGTGACACTTCGTGTTGTGTTACGTAGGGATTGGGCCTTGCGTCTGTGAAACTCTGATTCGGTTACGATTCTTTGTTTGTTTTTCGACTCTCCAGCGTTTATATTGGTTGTCGACTCTCGGCTTCGGAGCGTTTCCGCATATTTTGGAGTTATACACATTTCGGGGTTTGAGCTCATAATGTTTACATTGTGCATGTATTGGAACACCAATTTTGCATTCAGCCATTCGTTATTTTCAGAAAGCGGCGATCAGCTATTGACTGCACTTTGAACCTTGTGGATGGTTTAAAATATGAGAGGGTGGTGTGAAATTGTTATATATCTCTAAATACTCCTGAGACATTGCGCCCAGGACTAACTATTAGTTACTACCAAAAGACCAACTGACAGCCTTCTCTAACCTCTATCCACCAATTATACCATCCGATGCAGTTCTTTATCATTCAAATGTTTCTTGAACGAGTCAGTGCCATAGTTCTCCCACCAGTCGAACAGCATCGAGTTGCAGATAAGTTTAAACCAGGGTGTAAACTTCAAATCGGGCTGCGTGAACATTTGCTTCAATTCATCAGCCGTAACGTATCTCGTGTTACGGACTTCATTCACGTTGACATCGAGATCAACATCAGCCTGGATGAACAAAATGTAGTCAACTGCCCAGCGGTTAGTCCAATATTCATAACAGGACACTGCCCAAGGTAATAGCAACCACTCACTCTCATGCTCTCCCCACTTGCCATCGCTTGGGGCTTTATAGTGAATCCTTGTCAGGAACTCAAATTTATCCAGCGGGACCTGCGCAGGCTTGATCCCCAACTCATGCTCCAATTTCCTTTGCGCAGCCCTTCGGACTCCCTGCACAGACGCATCCAAACCAACACCAGTCTCTCCGGGAATGCCCAAAGGATGCGAGCAGCACGTATTGGTCCAAAGGTCAGGGAACGTGATCTTCTCCGTCGCACGTTGCTGAAGAAGAAGCCGCTTCTGGGAATCGAACAGGAAGACCGAAAATGCGCGATGGAGGAGCCCCTGGTTGATGTTCGTCATCAAGTGGCCTGTATCACTTTTTAGTTATAAATCCCTCCCAGACATCCCGCATCTTCGACTCCAAAAGCAACTTACAAGTCTTCTTGGTCCACTGCAATCGGCTGATCATCATCATCGACACGATGCACGCTCATCATCACTATCTGCTCTCATCGTATGCTCGATCACTCCTCACGCGCAGATGTCTGAGTCAGCTCGTTCAGATCGAGACTAGCGTGTATCGACGCCTGGGAACGCGACGCACATGTTGCTGGTTATACGCTCGGTTTCGATGACTGTGGTGGTGACTGACATTTTGCCCAAAGAAACGTAGATGTGCTGGTCAACGTTCAACCGCAAACGATGGGAGGAGGGTAACAATGAGAGGTAAATAAATTTGAATAACAGACAATTGCAGTCAATGAGTGACAATAATAATGTGTTTTAGGGAAAATGATGAAAACCGGGGGCAAAACGGAAGAATAAAATAGTGGGGTTGATGGTTTGGAGCGGAGAAGCTCTTGCGCGACATTGAAATCTCAACCATCGCAGTCAAATGCCCCTCCTCTCAACTCAGCGACATTCAGCCATCTTCCTGCTTGCAATTTGCCCATTGAGCCATGGACTATGCATGGCGTGCTCCAAAGCTCGCGCTCTCGATTCTTAAAGCTGCAGAGCCGTTGCTGCCTGTTTGCTTTGTTTGTTTTGCGGCTGCCTCACCACCAAGGGCACCGCCGTCGATGCTGTGTATATCGGGCAGGGGAATGGTTAACACTCATTGCTTGTGAATTGATGCCTGGGGGATCTATATATCCATTTTATGACGTAGGGCAGGAAAAGAACTGCTCTCGCAGAATCTACCTCCCTGACCAGGCCGTCGAGTGCTGCCTCGACCTGAACGCCGCTCAAGTTTCATGCGATCAAAAGTACTGCAGGCATTCTGAGCCTCACAGGATGTCACATCCTGCTAACACGGCGCTGGCAAATCCCCAAGCTCCTTCGAATGCGCTGTCTACCTTGGAGCCTGGGGAAGGGCACAGATATGTCCAACCGTTGACCATACCTGTGATTAGTGAAGCAAGAGATGCCACATCGCCATCGTGGCAGGGTCGTGTCTGAGTGTGATGCGAGCCTGTGTATGGTTTTGCTGTGGCATAATCTTATTCCACTGATGCCTCCGGAACGTCGATGAGTTGGGCGGTCTCCCTGCCAATAGTGCTGTTGAAGTCCCGTTGCCGTTAGTGGCAGTCTCATATCGCCTCCCGAAGCCTCTGATGTTCAAACCTGACCTAACTATCTAAGCCTTTCTTTCTAGGTCGAATCAAGGCACGACAACCACCACGTCTGACTAGAGGCTAGGAGATATGAAACACCATTTCTGGCAATCATGTTCTCAGCCTTATGGCTTAGCTACAAGATGACCTCTACGGGAGGCAGCTATCGAACAGCGGTTTACCGTGCCTCCGAAAGCACAGATAACTACTGGCTTACCTCTTTCAAAACATAAACCCTCGAACAATGTACCTGTACTTGTTCCGTCAGTACATACATACCGGAATTTACCAATGACTACTGGTAAGATAACAATTACCCGATGCGGCTGCCATCTCAATCGTAAACGTCCAGGCTGAATCAAAAACGCAAGGCTGCAGAATCTGGGGTTCACACCTTGACAATGGGGGCCGATAGGCAACATTGCATTGCATATCTGCAAGGGGTACACTAATTTAAACGAATCTTCAGAGGAACAAACCCTGAATATGCACAAAAAAGAAAATTTTCACCAAAACCGCACGATTGCTACTACATCAAAGACAAGGAGAAGAAACAGGAAAACAATGACAGTTTGACGGAGAAAAGTGGGATCAACTTTGCAACCGGCCCAGGCCCCGCACCGTGGGGTCGAAGGGCAAACCTTCCAAAATCCACATTGTAAAGGTGCGACGATGGGCAACATCGAGCACAGTGCGTTGTTGGATAATCTTAGTAGGGACCTTTCCCAAGTCGGTGCTCAATAAACAAAGGCTTAGATGTCGGCGCTTAGCGAAACACATGGGTATTGCACATACTACCCATGCCAACAACGCCTGGGTGATAATAGATCCCCTGTAGGAGAGTGTTGGAAGACCCCAGTCAAGGCAATAATATTACAGCAATGAACGCACGGAAATCACGTCCGTTCGACAAGGGATGATCCGCCGTCCCAAAGTGGAAGATGCATAGAACAATCATCGAAGAAGTTTAAATCCAGATCGGCCCCCACCGCTTGCTTGGCGTTTTGTGGCTTGCAGATTGCAGATTGCAGATGCAGAATGCCTGGCTGATTGCTGTTGTGGATGTTGTTCCCGCCTCGAGCCAGTCGGTGCGGGATGGACAAGTCGAGTCGTTCACAAGCAAACGGATTCTGGCACCACCGCAAGGGGCGCAAATTCGACCCGTCAGGTGGATGATTGCAGTTGGCCCAAGTTCAACATATCCGCCCGGGACATAATCGAATTGTGATTGACTGCTGTCAGGGTCTGCATGCTGCAAGCCACCGGTTCGGGGTGAGAGTTTTTTCTCCTTCATTCATCAAACTCAACTGCTTCTTCGTAGAAAAAAAGAAAACACCAAGCCATGATCATCCTTCGGGCTTTGCTTGCCAATTCCGGAAAATATTCCAAAAGCAAATGAGAGTTAGGACGCGAGTTCTAGTCGAGACGCAAATCCATTTTCCTCGTATACACCATGCCATAGCGCTGGCTGAATCCCTCCTGTTCTGAAACCTCCGGGAGCGTAGAATCTAATCAAAACAACCCTGACAGCCCTACGGGTTTAAGCTCCATACGAGTCTCCATCCCGCTAAACCGAGAACATGCAACAATCAAGTAGGGCTGAGGTAACCATCCAATGAACAGCGAGCTACGTTCCAGAACCGTCGAAGCGCCGGCTTGGCATTGTCAGGGCAAGGGTTCGAGAACGGGACTAGAAGGATTCTAGAGGGAATTTTTGAAGACCCCTTGCATTCCCGTGGCAAATGCTGAAATACTGGGAGCATATCGCTCGAGGATAGATTGTCTATCCCGGGCCTTTTAGTTCATATCCAGTTCTCGCCGGGGTTATACTGCACAAAAGCTGCACTTGTCAAAACACGCGATTTCAAGCAAAACGAAAGTTGGTAAAACAAACAACAAAGAAACCGCTCAAATCCTATCGTCCTCTCTGAATTGTAGACCTATCACATTGTAAAGATATTGAGTGGAGGGTTGGAAAATTTCGACGATAGTGCCAAGCGGTTTGAAGGGAAAAAAGCAAAAATACAAACACTGAATGGAAGGAAAACCGAAAAGCAATCGAAATCTCAAAATTGCCTGGAAAATTTCCCGGATCGGCGGGTTGCTTATCATCCGATCTGAGCCCAGAATACCCCTGATGTCGTGCCATACTCCATGCAATCGTCAAAGTTTACTCAACTCCCTTGCACCATAGATCAAAAAAGAGACAAAAAAATCCAAAAACAAATAGCCTTTATTCTTGCATCAAGAGGGATATAATTGGGGTCCGGACAAAAAAGAAATCTATATGCGTACAAAATTGTCCAATCAAAATAAAACAATGAAAAAATTCAGATAGGCGTTGGGTATATTTCGTGATCAGCGTTGCAAATTCGTTTCCGTACTCCGTTGTGGGCATTATGCATACTGCGAAAAGGTTTCTTGCGCATTACCCAAAAATGCTTGTCGCATAAAGGCATTGTTGATCTGCGTTTGATGAGAGTGGGGATGCTGCTGGTGCTGTGTATTCACTCCTTGATAAGGGGACGATGATGCAGTTTGCTGATAGGTGACTGGAGAGGCCGCACTTGAAGGGACGAAATCAGTTAATGGGACTTTGGAAGCGGCAGCAGCACGCTGAGCCTGGCGTTGCTGTTTCCTGCACCCATCTTCGCAATGGCTATTGAGGACAATGAGTTAGAAATGTAGAGACAAAACAACACAGATGGCACTTACCGTCTCAAGGTATCTTGTCTTGCAAAACGATGTCCACACTCAGAACAGCCATATCTCCGAAGCTTTTTATGTACCTTGTATCCTATTTAGCATAAATCAATAAAGACGTGTGACAGGGGTACTTACACTATCAACATGTCGAACCAAGTCCGTCTTGCGGCTGAACTGCTTTGTACACTGCCCGACTGTACATTTATGGGGGAATTTTCGGTTTGGGTCGTGTATCTTCATGTGTGACTTGCAATTTGAATTTCGTGTAAACTGCATACCGCATGTTGGGCATTCGAATTTACCTTTGGCCGTGGCCACGGCTTTGGGCGGCTGCTTCCTAACCTCATTGTTAAAAGTCGCGGTAGAACAGGTAACCTGGGTAGCAGTATTTGTATTGTTCGACGACGGTCGTGTTTCCCTTGGTAATCTCCGATTAACTGCGGGCCTCTTGATGTTATTGTCTAGCTCGAGAAGTGTGTTGGCAGAAACTCGATTGGGCTCAGCAGGGCTAGTATATCCTGTTTCATAAGAATAAGGCAAAGCAAGTTGTTGGACGGGAGTCCTCTGGACAGCATTGTGACCTGTTCCTTCATCATGAGTAATCTTCATCCGTTTGCTCGTTGTAGATTGCCTGTGGGCTGGGATTTCCGGGTACTGGAGACCAATATCCGCGAGGACTGGTGCCCGTTGGTAGGTAACGTTGGCTGGCTTTCGAGTCATTGAAGGAGGACTAAGGAAGGTCATTGTATTAGGCACAGACACATCCGTATTAGGAGTGATGAACGGCGAGCTTGTCGTCGCAATCGCGTCAATGCTTCCGTATATTCCCAGCCCCTGGTAGTCGCCTAAATTGGGTGACGGGCTCGAGTAGCACTGAGTTGCGCTTGGATCGTTGGGCCAGCTAACGGAGGCCGGAAGAAGAGGTTGTGTGCAAATAGGAAGCTGTTGATTTGGGTGGCAGTCTAGTAGCTCCAGTCCAACCATCGCCGGCGTATGACTTGACAAGGGCTGCGTGTGCGCATGGGTTTGAGGAGGAGTAGGGTATGGAGAGGCGTGCATGGTAGATCTGTATGAAGAGCAATACTGCTGAGGAGCACCAGAGTAGTCTCTCGAGTTGAGATCCATATCTTTGCTTGTCTCTGAATCGTCAAGGCAAGGTCAGGTTAGGGAGGAGAAAGACAGTTCACAAGCAGTCATGAAATGGGAAGAAGTTAGATGAAGGTAGGAAAGTTGAGAGGGAGGTACAGTATATAAGGAGGCAGGACAAAAGGAATTCGGCAGGGACAGCTATATAAGTTGAGTCAATGCAAGGAGTCAGCATGGGAGGGGATTCGATTGGCGAAGCACAGAATAAAGTAGGGCTCATATGCAATTGCCAACGGGTTGCAGAACCTGTTCCCAAGGAGGGACAGGGGAGTGCATCCACAAGGCATACTCTGCCTTGGGAAATACAGTTGACTGCATTAGGCATCGTTCTAGAGGCCAAATAGCCGCGAAGATCTGGGAACCGAAACCCAAGATGTCATTAGGTAGCAGGCGTTGCGGAGGAGGCATGGATGTGCACTAGTACGGGGTCGAAAACAATAGCATGCATCAATCATAAAGCAGCCAGGTCAGCAATATGAGATGCAGCAGAAACGGAAAAGCCACAACCGTTTGAGCAACAAGAAGAATGCCGCTGATCTCTATTGGCGATGGCCGGCGGCGGGAGACTTCAGATGAAAAGAAGCAGCAATGACTGAACGACCCGACGCTGTGGCTAGCGTTTTGATTCGCCTGTTTGGTACCACACAGCCCTGGCCCGTACGGTACGATACCCCGTAAACTGGCGTATTTGGTACGGGTATCGGTACCTGGTACTTGCTGGCGATGAGCAGTTGGGGAGCAAACGACCGAAAAAGAAACCATGCCGGGGGGTGAAGGGCTGCGAAGGATGGGAAGAGCCAGCAGGAAATTGACACGCAGGAACCTCCTACTTTCATAGCCGCTGCCAGAGTCGCACAGTGGCCGGAGTGCCTAGTCGCAAGCCCTAGGTGTGCGCATTGTTGTCTTTCTCTTCCTTCTTCATGCTATTGAAGAACACCCACAATACCAGGAATCAGCCATGCTTCCTGCTATTCAGTGGTCGCAGGGGCGAGGTATTTTCGAGTCATCTACTGGATCGGGGTCTGCCTTCAGGGCGTGAGGCGTTTAGATCGCAGTCAATAGGCACCAATGATCTGGAGACACTGCTGCTGATACGTCTAGAACTTTTCCGGAAGCACTAGCTGTCTTGCAATCTGCCGGGTTCTATCCTGATCCGCCTTTAGTTGTATTAAAATATACTTTGCATCCTTTCCAGATGAAGTGGTCTGAGCCTACTGGGAGGGGCCCATTGAGAACATCGGCTTTTGCTGAGGGTTTCTCTCCCAAATCGCTATGCGCGAGCCACCCATACCGACATTCAATAGCACTAGCCATTTAGAGCTGCTCTGCTGAAGCAAAACCGATCGGTTCTGCCTGCAAAACGTCATACTGTTCGCTCGAATGGATTAGTATAACTTGGAAGCCTGAAGTAGGTAACCGAGACGGAGTCATGACCGCAGGCATCAATCAGGCGCAGGGCTATTCTGGATGCAAAGCGGCCATTATCATCCAGTACGGCTACACCAGCACAGCCAGTCGGCTACTGAGATTCTAAACACACTGCAAGGATCCCGACATGGCACTTGCGATGAAGTGGTGAAAGGAAACAAGGCAATTGAAGGGGGGCAGTGCTTTAGATCCCCAAGGCAGCGTGCTGTATTATTTCAAAATCCAATCGTGAGGTTGGAGCCCCCGGGGTTCAAAGGTGTCAGGCATCGGGGCTTGGACCGACAGGCCAACCACAGGGACTGCATGCGCAGTTCCATGCAATCAAGTAACCATTCCATCAATAAGTTCCGGCGGCTGAACGGGGTTTCCCTCGAGGAGGAAGTTGTATTATATCTTCCGTTAGGGAACCCTGACCAAGTTAAAACTGGCCCTCCCATTCATTATCACAAATCAAAAGAATAGGAGGGTGTGGGAGAAAAGCTACCCAATGTCAGCGAACCGCCAGCGAGATTTTCGCTCATCGTTGCTGGCTACCCTTCATTGAGGTGAAGCAAGAATTTGACATTCGGAGGCTAACGTGATCTTCTGCAGATGCGACTTGTGTTTGAGTGGTCGGTGTCGCAGGGGAACTGGACAGAGAGCCAATCAACGATGGAGTCACTCATTTAGCGCCGTCTTTCATCTTGCCGCTCAAAGCCAACCATTTCGAACGAAATCCCTGCAATTGAAAATAAGACTGGATGCAACCGCGGTGCATTGTTCAAGGGTCTTTAGCGCGATGAAAAAAGGTGGCTCCTGAGCCAATCGATTTACACCTTGCATAAAGCTAAAACTTTAAACAGGGCGTCAAGTTTTCTCTATCATCGTGGGGTCAGAAGCACTGTTTCCCATTCAGCTCCCCTCCCGCCTGCTATCTAGAAGCCGGAATATGGTGCTGAATGGGCTTCTCATGCCAAGAACCACAAAGGAAAAGAAAAATGATTACCAGAGCTTGCTAGTAATCGTTCAGAACATATCGCAAGATGCAGGTGCTAATGACTCGGGCAGCATCACAAACGAGTCTGGCTTTCAGCTGCAATTCCTAATATAACCGGGTAATTTTCCGTTCTTATTGGGCATGGGGCCGAGGGGCCACTGAGGCCAGAACCACGAACAATTTCATGCACATACTCCGGACAGGAAAGGATCGATAAACGTGCATTCCAGTCGCAGTTAGCTCTAACGATGCGACCTATAGCCCATCATGTCGTAGATCTTAGTAAAGGCCTAAGTGCGATCCTGTTGATTTCCGGGGCAGTGCAAGGTTTCATAACGAGGATACCCGCAAGTGAGGCTCTCGGGAGCGCTAATCAGCCAATATCGTCGTCCCATGGTTCTCGATACAGGGCTATCCAAGGCCATCGGCGGTCTCCGTCCTTCCTCACAGGGGAAAGCCAGCGGCTGGAAAAATTTCACGACGTGATACTAGTTGAGTCAGGCGTGAATGCACGCGAATTCCAAATCAAAAACAAGGTCGCTAGAATAGATGCCCAATCTTAAGCTCAGGCCCCTGATAGTCTAACGCACTGTACACTCAGAACCTGAGCTGTAAGAATGTGAGGCTGAAAAGCTAGGTCCCGGCGCAGAACTGAAACAAACGTATGTAGTGCTTTTGTGTTTGGAGCTATGGAGTCGGATTTCGTCCCGCGCATCCGCTTTGGCTGCGGAATATGTCTAGCGGCTGGATTATCTTTTTTTGCTAAGCGTTCCTTAGGCCACAATATTGCCTAACCGGAATATGAAGGTTCGAAGAGCTCATGGATGGTTCCATGCCATATCAGTTATATATCTTCCATTAAAGAGAATCCGACAGGTTCCATAGACAACACTTCAATCCCGTTTGTTTAACGTCACCGGATTAGTTGTCTCCGATTTGAATACGCCAGGTCCTGTACGTGCGGCGCTGCCTTGCCCTATCCAGATTTTAGTCAAATATAGCACGAACTAGGACGGTTAAATATGTTGTAGGGCCGTCGGCGTCAGTGTCCTGTGAGACACTACGATGTATTGTTCTCGCGTGTTCGAAGAAAACGATGTAATAATCCGGCCTGTGGCAGCACTTGACGACATTAACCATCGGCTAATCAAAGCGTCATATTACAGCGACTATCAGAGAATTTGTGATAATGCGGCAGAGCTAATGGGATCCCCTACTCAAAACAGTTGCGTCAATATACTGCCCATCTTTTTTTAAAAATATGGATACAAGCCAGAAGGTTCAGCGGCACTGTGGCCGCCAACGAGGACTGAGGCACCCAGTAAAGCCTAGGGGTACTTAATACAAGCCCTCTTGCCTTCAAGAGGATGGCAGTAACATTCGAAAAGAAGTTGCCCTAGACCAGACGTCTATGAACTTGGTGGGAAAAGAAAATGGCGAGGAGAGGAAGAAAAAGTAAGAAAAAGAAAAAGAAGTAAAGGAAAGGAAGGGTATCAAAATCACGGAGTGGAAAGCAAGCGATGTGGTTTATGTATTTGAGAAGAATCCGCCTTAGTGCGGCTGAAGACTTCCCGCGATTTTATCAACCCTTGTCTATTGACTCTGATTGGGGGAAGGCTGCAGAAGCATGAAACCACAGCAGTTCCAATAAGGCGTGCTTGATGCAGTATTGGCACGAAGCCCATCTTCCCAACCGGCGGGGATGGCAACCATCCTGAGGGCTGCCCGCTGGTGAGTCTCTGAGGTCGTCAGTCGTTCGAGACAGAAGAAGTCGACGAGGGAGAGATGGACGAAAGAGGCTAGCGTGAGATGAGCTAATCCGAACGGGCTTGGCACCAAGCCGACGTCAAACAATGTGCGACGACGCTGCTTTGGAGGAGATATCAACCATCAGGACGAGACAAGCAATCCGCTTCTCAGCCGGACAAACACTGCTCTCAGAGTGATGATATGACATATAGCTCGCACGCTGCCACTTTGCTTACCTGGCTGCGTTTCATACCTCCAAGCTGCAGCCAGATGCTACATACCCTCAAGTGATTTTACTCTCCGAAACGATGATCAGGAGGGGTCTCACCTGTATAAAGCCGATTAAAGCTGAATCTAAATCCTTTGAATCTTGAGTGCTCCTTTTTAATGCCTCTCGCGGCTTGTCTTGTTCGATACAGGCACAGTCGCCATGGGTCAAGGCTACTCTATTACCACCCTCTCTGCAGGGTCTGCTGGCATTGATATACCAGAGCTTGCCGATCTTGTGTATGAGAAATCTTTAGGAACGGCAAGGTTTATGAAAAGCATCCGTGCACGGCAGCGTCATGGCTTGGTTTTCGTCAAGGCTATCATGAAACCATACCCCAGCTTGAAGCTTGATCCGTATGTGAAGGCTATCATGCGTCTGTACCGCCCTCTAATTCTTTCCTATATGGCCTTACCCATCTGACTAGTCTCCTAGGTGAACGAAGGGTATTAAGAGACATCCCAAATGTCCTTTCCTATCAGCGAATCATCGAGACTGGAACTGGAGGCTACCTAGTCCGCCAGTACATACATAGTTCTCTGTATGATCGAATGAGGTATGCTTCGGCCTTTCTATACGGTGGCACGAACGAGGTTATCTGACCGCCATATAGCACTCGTCCCTTTCTGGAGGACATGGAGAAGAAGTGGATATGTTTTCAGCTTTTGTGTGCGCTTCGTGACTGCCACTCCCAAAACCTCTATCACGGAGATATAAAAACAGAAAATGTCTTAGTTACATCGTGGAACTGGGTCTATCTGTCTGATTTCTCTTCCTCTTTTAAACCCACTTTCCTTCCTGAAGACAATCCAGCCGACTTTTCGTTCTACTTCGACACATCTGGTCGCCGAACCTGCTATCTTGCCCCGGAACGATTCTTGACTGCTGGTGAGAATTCGGGCGACCGTCGAGTCAATTGGGCCATGGATATTTTCAGCGCTGGGTGTGTCATTGCGGAGCTTTTCCTTGAATCGCCCATTTTCACCCTGAGCCAGCTCTACAAGTATCGCAAAGGGGAATATAGCCCCGAGCAAGGCCCACTTGCGGAACTTCAAGATCCAGATGTTAAAGAGTTGATTTTACATATGATAAGCATCGACCCAGAATCTCGCTATTCGGCGGAAGAATGCCTGAACTTCTGGCGAAATAAGACTTTTCCGGAATACTTTTATAGTTTTCTTCACCAATATATGGGATTGATTACAGATCCTTCATCAGGCCGCGCTCGCACAGATATCAATGCCGCGGAGTTACATGAAGCAGACGACAGAATCGAAAGAGTCTTCCTCGATTTTGACAAGATCTCTTATTTCTTGGGATCAAACCCTCAGTCTGCGCTTGCTGAAACAAAATCAGCCACTCCGTCGTTGGCTAACCAGGCCGATTCATTGCAGTTAGATTTACCAGTGTCTAGTAACCAGCCTTCCAAAGCCTCATCTGTCGATATTGAAGGTACCCTGGTTTTCCTAACACTAGTTGTATCGAGCCTGCGTAATACTGCAAAGTCATCCGCCAGAGTGAAAGCATGTGATATTCTTCTAGCGCTTGCTGAAAAACTTCCTGATGAGGCAAAACTGGATAGGGTCCTACCATTTGTTATGCTCCTGTTGAATGATCGTTCTGATGTTGTCAAGGTTGCAGCCATCCGAACATTGACTCAACTCTTGAGCATGGTGGAGGTGGTATCCCCAGTAAACGCCTACATTTTCCCGGAGTACATCTTTCCGAGACTTCAACCATTTATACTTGGGTCGAATAGCAATCCGAGTTCTCTGGTCAGGGCAGCCTATGCCTCTTGCATTGCCTCGCTTGCTCACGCGTCACTCAAAATCTTGGATATGGTGCAAGCACTGCGGTCCGATGTCCGATTGATGGCCCGAACCCCAGCCGAGTCGGAAGCGGGGTGGACGGAAGGCGTTTCCTACCACAATCTTTATGATGTGGCTCGCATTGATTTACTAGAATTCTTTGAGGTCCATGCTAAAGCACTTTTGACAGATCCCGATGTCTCTGTCCGTCGTGCATTCCTAGGGTCCGTTTCCAGTCTCTGCGTATTCTTTGGCAACCCCAAAGTGAATGAAGTTATTTTAAGTCACTTGAATACGTATCTAAACGATGAAGACTGGATACTCAAGTGTGCGTTCTTCGAAGCTGTTGTTGGGGTCGCGACATATGTCGGTGTTACCAGTCTCGAAGAGTTCATTCTACCACTCATGGTTCAATCCATGGCTGATCCCGAAGAGTTTGTCGTTGAACGAGCCCTTAGATCTCTTGCGAGCATGGCTAGGTTAGGCCTCTTCCAAAGATCGACTACCTGGGATCTCCTATATATTGTTGTACGGTTTTTCGTACATCCGAGCGCATGGTTACGTGAAGCAGCGGTAAATTTTGTGGTGGCATCTACGACATTTTTATCGGTGGCTGATAAATACTGTATCGTGACGCCTCTTGTTCGACCGTTTCTCAAGGCTAACACCACCGATATTTCGTCGTCTCAATTGCTGGATGCCATCAAAAAGCCCCTTCCAAAGGCGGCATATGAGATGGCTCTAGTCTGGGCTACTAAAGCAGAGAAAGGTACTTTTTGGGATTCAGCAGCTAAAGACAGCACATTCATCCTAGGCGGCACTATGGCCACGAATTTTGGAAAATTACGTCGCTCAGCATTGAACAACATAACGAAGAACGAAGAAGATCAGCAATGGATTGGACGCCTCAGAAATTTGGGAATGGGACCAGAGGACGAATTTAAACTACTCGCTCTAAAAGAGTACATCTGGCGAGTGGCCAAGAGGAGAGCGAAGGAACCCTCTCGAACTTCCACAGTGGCTACGGCGGATATCATCCCGTTAAGTCAGCACGACATAACGCCGCAAACTGTCTTTTTTGATAAAAAGCAAGGGCCAAAGCCACCACCTCCGCCCCCAATGCGAGTGGGAGTTGACTCCTTGGATGGCGAGAGAAGGACACATACCATCGCCGACGCTTTACTGGACGCGTCAAGCACAATTGATGGGAGTGACATTGCACGCAAACAGCTGTCGCGTCGCAGTAGCAGGCGCTGTAGCATTGACGCAGCGCCGGGCATTTCTCGAGAACGCACTCAAGACTCTACCAAAACTACCGACCCATCTCCCACATTGTCTCCAATTCTTCCACCAGGATCGACGACTTCATCGGCCGGAGCTTCCGACTCTGAAAGACGAGATGTCGGTGCTTCAACTCCACGAACGAACTCGGTGACAAGGACTAATTCGTCTGTACGAGGGTCAGAGAGTTCTCATCTGAGAGCTAGGGGCGACGATATCAAACGCCGATCTAGTGCGATAAATCTTCTCAATCGTCAGGAAAACTCCAAATCTTATGCTGAAACCGCTACCACCTCTACAAATGTGCTTGGTGAAGTTGATGCTACCCGATTTCGAAGAAGTTCCACGCAAACTCCGACCATTTCAACCTCAACCGGCGAATATTCAGAAGAGCCAGCTCGGCAGTATCGTGCAAACCATACATATCGTGGCAATGACCCGACGATATTGAAACTTCTAGATACCGTTTTTGCTGAAAACTATCCCACGGACCTATTTGATTTCGGACCGGTTGTTGCCCCAATCACCAGCCAGAATCCAATAAGAAAGGTGAACGGGCAGCTATCAAATACACCTTGGAGGCCGCAAGGAAATTTAGTTGCATTATTCGGTGAACACACTGGCCCCATAAACAAGATCGCAGTAGCACCTGACCATGCATTTTTTGTCACCGCTTCTGATGACGGGACTGTCAAGGTCTGGGATACTACGCGGCTAGAGAAGAATATTACACCACGATCTCGTCAAACACATCGTCATGCGGCGGGAACTAAAGTTAAATGTGTCACTTTCGTTGAAAGTACGTACACGTTTATAAGTGCAGCCACAGACGGTAGCATTCATGCAGTTCGCATTGATTATCAAAACAATAATGATGCGATTCGGTACGGCAAACCGCAACTTGTTCGAGACTATCGAATCTCGTCACCTGAAGGGGCTAATGAGCATGCTGTTTGGATAGAACATTACCGTACAGATGTGCATTCCCTTCTTATGATGGCCACCAACCGATGCAGAATTATCGCCCTTGACTTGAAATCTATGAAAGAAATCTTCACACTACAAAATCCTGTTCATTACGGAATGCCAACCACGTTTTGCGTTGATAGAAAGCGGAACTGGGTGCTCGTCGGCACCACTCACGGTATACTGAGTCTGTGGGACCTCAGGTTTTGCGTTCTAATAAAATCATGGGGCCTCCCCGGCGGCACACCAATCCACCGACTCCTTATCCATCCTCTCAAAGGTAGAGGAAGATGGGTTTGCGTTGCCGGTGGAGCAAAGAGTGGCTCTGAGATTATGGTGTGGGATATCGATAAAATGCAATGTCGAGAAGTATATCGCACAGCTACTACTAGCCACGGTTCAAACATCCAGGGAAAACACACCGCTACTCCACCAACGCATCGAAAAACACATTTTACCCCTGATACGACTTGGAAGTCCTATGATCCGTGGCGTGTTGACGATGAAAGGCCTGAGTCTCTCCTCTCCCGCTTCGCCGCCACCTCTTCTCCCGAACCATCCTCCACCGGCGTAGACCGAAATGGTATTCATGCTATAACCATAGGCATTGACGTCCCCGAGCCGAATCCCCCTGCTGGAGCTCAGCCTGACAGCAATTTCGCATCAAAATGCGGCTTCCTCATCTCCGGCGGGTCCGATCGCACGATTCGGTTTTGGGATGCCTCCCACCCGGATGCATCCCAAATAGTTAGCGCTCCCGATCTTATCTCCGATGGGGCTGGTTTGTCGGCCAAGCCGAGGTATGAAATCACGAATCCGACTCCTTCTTTGACCATTACGACGGAGTGGCTACCTAGCACCGGTGCGTCAACGCCTGGTGCTGGGCGAACCGGATCAGCGTCGAAGAAGAGTGGAGGCTCCGCGGGAGGTGGTGCAGTGCGACCACCCCGAACTACGGTGATTAGTTTACAACAGCAGCAATTGTTAAAGAGTCACTTGGATATAATCCTTGATGTAGCGTTGCTAAGAGCGCCATATGGAATGACCGTCAGTGTGGATCGGGGAGGGATGATTTATGTTTTTCAATGAGGTTTTTAGTACGTTTGCGGTGATTCTGTCACTAGACTGAGAGGAGCTTCCTCCTTCTCAAGTAACGCTAGACTTGGTTCGAATGGCCCTTTTAGCGGTGGTGTATGAGGAGTAGCAGTGCTAATGATATTCACGGCGGAAGAAGCCTAGTTTCGATACGTAGATAGCCTTTTGAAAACTCTACCGCTCCATTCCCGATCTCCAACATGTATAGCTAATTAAATCTGCTTTTGCATCCAAAATGATAAAACTTGGCCCCAAATACCCAATATTAAACTAGATGTGCATACTTAAAACGGGCATCTTTAGTTTTGTCTAACCACGTCTCCTAGCCTTTCTCTTCCTTCGACCTCTCGAGCCTCCATTATCCCCTTGGCGTTTTCTCTTCCCACCCTTCGTACGCTGACCATCACCCTGTGACGACAATTGTTCGGCGTTAGGGTTCGGACAATCCCCATCCGGCGTCTGTCTTTCCACCTCACCCGGCCCTTCATATCCCTTCAACAGTAACTGCAACTTAACATCTTTTAAATACCAAATCGACTCTGGGTACAAAAGTGGCCGCTTCACACGTTCGTTTCTCGCAGGAGGAGGAGGAGTCAAAGGGCCGTCGAGTCCACTTTGATAGAGACCGCTTGTGATTTTTTTCATGCGCTCTGCGTCGTACAGACCGTGGCTACCTAAATATGGCCTTGGGCAGTTAATACCACCTAGGATCTGAACCCATACCAGGTCGTTATCCGACAGGTGACCCTTCGCCAGATGCATTGTTGAAGGCCTGCCTTGGACCAGGGAGTATGGCGTTCCCGCATCGAGGACGGCCTTTACGGTTCGAGCTCGACGCATGCGGGCGAGTAGACGTTCCCGTGTCCCCGTCACCGCATAGTACAGCAGGGTGGGCTTCCCCTCCTTTTTTGCGTTCATGCAAGCTCCAGCGTTAAGAAGCATTTCCACCATCTGGGGTCGGGCATACGTGGCCGCTAGAAAAACGGGGGAAGGATGATCGATGCTTGCGGTTTTGTCGAGATCGGCACCGTGGTCGATGAGAAGCTGTACCATTTCAGGCTGCTTGTACATGACTGCCTGTTGTAGCGGAGTCATGTAGAACGCGTAGAAGCACCGGACGCGCAAGAAACAAGCGCTGCAGACATGGAGAACTGGTGTGTGTCGGGGGCATTTGGGAATAAATGAAAGGGTAAGCCCGTCGATATCCGACCCTGTGGCCAGTAGCTTGAGTCCGGCTGAGACGGGTCCGTGCTTAGCAACATACGCAAGGCCTTCACACCTTGGACCTTGCTTGTATAGATGCTTGTTCAGGATGTAGTAAAAGCGGACACAGGTCTGAACGAAGCTGTTTAGATCTTGTGGATTTCCGATTCTGTTGCCAATTTTAAAGATCACTTCTGGTGGGAGAGAGGTAAGAGTCGCAGTCCGATTCATTGTCATAGGCGTAGGGATCTTGTAGGGTTTTCAAAAGAGTATGAAATGATAAAGGAGAACAAACACTCCCCTATACGATAGTGGGCCGTCGATGCAGATATAAGGACTGTAAATTATATCTTTTTTCATAGGGAGGCTTAGACCGTGAGTCAAGCGGAAACGGGGACATGAAATAAAGGAGAAAAGAAAGCCTGTCTATAAGGTATAGACATAATTATGATATCATTCTGATCGATGCATAGTTTTATGGCCGAAAAGGTGAGAGTCAAGGAATCATTGAGCCCCCTTTTCCACCATTCATAGGCACCAGGGAAGATACGGAAGTCTTAACCACAACCCGGATACCGTCTATGTTGCTGTTTCCGTTCCATTAGAAAGTAGTCTTCTGACATGTGAGACCAGGATCAGCAAGAAGAAAATGTTACCCAAACAGAATAGAACAGGCAGACATTTGAGTCATTCGCCGGGACCATGGTAAGGAACCTTTGATATCAAAACTTAGCACCGTAAACCCAACCGACTCACCATGGAGCAAATAGGGTTCTGTGGAACCATAACCAAAGAAGCGACAAAAGGTGCATTGAATCAAAATGTTGAATATACTGCATTAAACTAGATATCTACCAAAGGAGATGCAAGGAGAGAACCGCCATGCTGTCACAGGCTAGAATGGAAAGAATGGGTATCTTGTATGGCTGATGTAGGGAAGTAAACACCGTTGAAATGCACAGTAACAAAAGGAATAATAAGAAGCAGAATAATGAGTGGATCGATATCTAAACAGCTTCACCTTCTGGTTTTTTACCCTGACTGCCACTCCTGATAGAGTCACCGTCCTTTGATGCCGAAGAAGATGACAAGGGCGCAGCCACCGCTTTCAATGCTTCCGCCCGCCTCGCAAGGACATCTTCCCGTTTGACGACGTTCCGCAGAGCTTCACTTGCTTCAATGAGTCCATCGATGCTAATCGCATGATTTGTCATTTGATGATTAATGTACGTGTAAACTGCGGCCGGAGTTGCGCACGTGCTCAGTAGCTGCTGCTCATTTAGTTTGAGAAGGGCTAATGCCACTTGGAATAGAAATGTGTTACCGCCACCAGTATTGCTCAGGATATCCCTATCGGAGGACACAGGCGTCGAGGTAGAGGTGGCATTAGTGGGTGTATCTGACGTTGACATGGTGGTAGCGCCAGATTCTGAAGTGGCTTTCTGAGTCTGAATTGCGGGAGCATGGACAGCTGGTGCACTAAGACATAGCACCACATCCCAAACACGATACAACGCTTCTGCAGACAAGCAGTCCGTAAAAACAGAAAGGAACCACTGGAACGTCAAAGCCTCAAGCTCTATCCCCAGCTCATCCAGATGTGACGACAGCTTTGGCAGGATCTCAGCAACGTATTGTCGAAGCACCTGCTGGTCCGCGCGAGAAGCAGCCAATCCGTGATCATAATAATGAGGAGGCAATATCTTCTCAATAATCGAGGCCAGAACCCAAAACGCATCCTCCGCCGCCGGCATGATCAAAAGCAGCGAGCCAGCGATCAAATTCATTCCTTGGCAATATCCAACTTCTGGGTTGCGACGCGAGTATGCGAGTAGAACTTCCTCTAATTTTGCAACGCCGGGCCCCTTTCGGAAAAATACATTGTCTGTCAAGGTCCGATGGATGTCCATTTGAATCTGCGCAGTGATACTAGGGTCCGAATCGTTGGCGGTGCAGCCTTTCACTAGATCATCATAATATCCCGGAATCCGCATCGCAGAGGCGCCACTGCATTCAGCCCAGATTTTCGCACGGTATGCAACGGGAATACCTCCAAGGACAAGGGTCCTGAACTCCCGCCATTTCGCACGCCCAACCTTCCCTTTATTCCCTAATCCAGCCACACCAACTACCTCTCCATCTGCGATGGCAACCTCAGGCATATCGAGCGATATGGCCGGGCGTTCCGCCGCTGTAGATGCAGCTGCAGCCTCTCCTTCTTTCCGTCGTTCAGCTCGAACTTTGCGCATGAACTCGTTCCATTTTATAGTCCGGTCTCGCTGAGAACTATCATGAAGATCCGTCAAGCGCTGAAGTAGTAACTTTACCGGTACCTGATCCAATTTCGTTGACTCTGAAGCCTGAGATTCGGGTGTTCCGGCAAATTCACCATACGTTTCTATCACCGTTGAGGTAGAGGCCGAAACTTGAGGGTTCGAATGAGCCACTGAGAGGGAACCATCTTTGCCAATGGTGACGGATGAGGCGCGAGGCTTGGTAGTTTCCACTGTAACGATTGGGCCAGCAGCAGGAGTATGAGAGAGCAGTTCAGTGGGTGATGTGGCAACTTTGAGATAATCCTGCCATTTATTGACACCTGCGCTCCCATCTTCGGGGCCTTCCGAGACGATCGACTCTCCCATGTTAGCGCCGCTGACGGGTTGGTCATTAGACTGCTTCGAGTCTACGCTAGGAGCCTCCTTTTGGCGTCGATTCCTTCGTTGGTCATAGATAAACCCAAATCGATCAGTAAGGAGGTCTCCTGGACTGTAGTCGCTGTAAATATGCGCAAGAGTTGGTGGGCGAGATTCCATGGGAAGTATAGCGTCCATCTCAACAGGACCAATATGTGTCTCGTCTTTTGCGCTCCTATGATCCGGAGTTGCTATTTGGACAGTATTGCGCCGGGAGCTTGGAGCAGGGGTACTTTTTGTTGAAGCTCGAATGCTAGATGCTGCGGAGGACCTTCCAGATAACGGTTGAACACCAGTACCGGCGTTAATGCGCTTTAAAGCCGCCATAGCAGATCCTGCTACCTTTGGAGGGAATGCTGGCGATGAGGTTCTATGTTGAGAATCTGGAGTATCAGAGCATGCTCGATTTCGAGTCATCTCAGCATCTTTGCTGGCCTGGGAGTTTCCTGCAAATAGTCTTACGGTCCACGAAGTTACAGATTTGGCAGACCGCCTGGAACGAATACTGCTGCTATCATCATCGCCTGGCTTTGAGTTCGTTGTCTCTGCGAGCGCACCACTGGCTGAGTTACGCTCGGGCGGCACAAATAGATCCGAATCCAGCCCTTTGCGACGGCCATTAGGCCCACTGGGCACGCGGGGTGCGGGCATGCGAATCGCCGCTTCTTCATCTCTCTCTGCAGCATCGCCACTTATGCTGCTGGTTCCACTAGTCTTGCGACTTGGAGCCGTACTTCCCCAGATATAATCCTGCCAGCCACGCGAGGATGCTAATGGCTTCTTTTTGACGGACCTCAGGCTTGAATTGCCGGACTGCATGCCACCGTCAGCTCGAAAGGGTCGGATGGTTGCCTGCAAATCATCCCTTCCCTTGTCATAGTCTGTGTTGTCGTATATTTGAGTGCCAACATCCTCAAGCATCGCTTCACTCATCATATGGTCAATGGAGCTGGTGTGGCTCCGTTGCTCGGCTAATGTATCTGCTTGATCGCCCCCGGGGGTGTTTTCATGTGTTTCCGCTGGATTTTCAAGCAAATAAAGCCGGCGTTCAATATCTTTATTCGAAACTTCCATTTCACGCAGCATCTTCTTCAATTCCCGCTCCCTCTCGTCAGCTCGAAGCCGCAACGCAGATATCTCAGCATCTCGCAAGGCAAGGTCTCTCGCAAACTGCCTGACTAGCTTGATTGCACCGGTGCGAGCGATTAACCGTTCGATGTGGTCGTCACTAGCAAGGTGGAGTGATCCCGGCACGTCTTGAAACGGGGAGTCGTTGAACAGGGCAGCACGGCCAGCGACTTGAGGGAGGTTGGTGGTGAGGCCAGCGATCGTTGCCTTGCGTCCACGCTCTGTTCCTGGGGTCTGCTCATTATCCTCCAGCAATAATGCCTGGCTAAGGGCGTGGTTGATTGCGGGCTCGCCATAGAACCCCTCTGGCGACCTATCCGGGGAGAGGGATGGGAACGAGGTGAGATCGGTTGAAGTGTGGGTGGATGAACAGGTTGAGACCCGTTTGGGAGGCTTCGCTCGAGCGGCTTTCGCTTTCTGGCTTTTTCGGGACGATGCAGAAGTTTGAGACGAGGATCGCTTGTAGGTAGAACGATCGATAGTCTCAGCCATATCTTCTCTGGTGATGGAAAGCACAACGAATTCTCCGCTGATCTACATGAATGTGTGGGAAGAGGGGCTCGTCGAAAGCACTGCGGGAATCAGTCACTTCCCCGGTCTTCTCCGGGCTGCAAGCATTTCCTGTCTAGATTCGATACGGAGTATTTTTGGAGGCAAAAGTTCGCGGGGATTAAAGGAGTCTAGAATGCGGAGGTCAGAGCGAGACGCCCCTGGAAACCCTGCTTATAAACAAGGAAATCAATGCGGTCATCGGGGGCTGGGGGCCAGCGTCTCGCGAAAGCCTTGGAGTCTCAGAGGCGGAATTCCGTCGAGCAAGCGAGTGACACGGCGTGAGAGGAAGACAACGATCCAAGAAAGAAGAAGAGAGGTTGTAATAGCAAATATGAACATCCGACGTCAGCTTCGCTTTTGCTTTGAGTTGAATCTCGTCATCGAACCGGGACTGCTGACTAATTGTGCCAAGAAAGGACCGACGTTTATCCGTAAAAGCTGACTAATTTGCTTACTAGCCCGATGCAGACTAGCGCCGTGTGTCAACCTCGGCCTTTCCGTTCCCGCTGCGCAGCCGTGAAGCGCGGAGAAAAAGCGTCAAAAAGGGCGGACAATGTCAATGGCACTTCTCCGCCATTCACACTGTCGTTGGGAGGATTTTGGCTAGATTGTCATCCTTTCGTCTCGCTTCTTTCCCTCCTTCACTCACTCTCTGCACAATCATGAGCGCCGCCGGCAGAAGAAGACTGCAGGCTCTCAGCCAACAGCTCGTCGAGGGCATTCCGGATGCCGGCACTTTTGAGAACATTCCCCGCATCAGGGAGGTTGCGCCCGACTCTGTAGGACCGTATGTACTCCCCCCGTTGGTACCATTGCTGCGTCGTGCTGACCATGGAGCTCCAGCCGATGCAAGGACAAAGTCGTCATCATCACCGGGGCCAACTCACCCATCGGCATTGGGCGCGCCTCCGCTCACCAGTTTGCCCGCAATGGCGCCAAAGCAGTCTTCATCTGCGACTTCTCTGCAACCTACCTCGACGTGCACAAGCGCGAGCTCGAATCGCTCTATCCCAGCGTCGACATCCACGTCCGGCAATTCGATGCCGGCAACGAGGAGCAGGTCAAGGCCGTAGTGGACGAGGCGATGCAGAAATACGGTCGGCTGGACGTCATGTTCGCCAATGCGGGAATCGTCGGGCAACCAAGACTCTTCACTGAAGTCACCGGCGACGAATTTATGAAAACAATGGACACTAATGCCAAAGGGTCCGTTATCAAGCTCCCCGGTGTCCCTCTCCCAAATAAATCCCAAATGCTAACGTTTGCCTGCAGTCCCTTCCTGGCGGCCAAATATGCCGCCATTGCCATGAAGACTCCCTCCCCTTCCAAACCATACCCCTCCGGCAGCATCATCCTCACCGCCTCCGTTGCCGGCCTCCGCTCCAACGCAGGCTCAACCGACTACTCCGCCTCCAAGGCCGCCGTAGTCTCCCTCGCCCAGACCTGCTCCTACCAGCTCTCCGGCACGGCCATCCGCGTCAACGCCATCTGCCCCGGCGTGATTGAAACCGGCATGACCAAAGTCATGTACGATATGGCCCGCTCACGAGGCACGGAGAAGAAGATCGGGCAGTTGAACCCCTTGCAGAGAGGTGCAGTGGCAGATGAGGTTGCCAGGGTGGCGTTGTTCCTAGGAAGTGACGAGAGCAGCTATGTGAACGGCCAGGCGTGGGCGGTTTGTGGTGGGCTGAGTGCAGGCCATCCGTTTGTTCCAGGGAAATTGGCATAGAGACTTTGGATAAATCACCTTGGTTGCCCAGTAGGGTATTGAAATTCTCATTTTATATATAGCAAGATAATGAAACGGATCATGTGGCAGCTCCTCGTTCCATTGCAAAACCTAGTACAATTATTGATATACGCACCACATATGCATAAAGACGATAGTCCCTTGTCCAAAGAAGCATTATACCCCCAAAGGTGGTCCAAGCAAGGGATCCTCCCAGCTGCTCTCTTAGAGCATAAATCTCATTAAACATTACCCAAGTCCTTATTCAAGACCTCAAAGAGCTTGGACTCGTCGACATTTTCCAACTTCCTAGCGGCTTCCAATATTTCACCCTCCTCCTCGCCCTCCCCTCCAACCTGCTCTCCAGGCATTTCTTCTTCTGTTCCATATCGCATCTTGTATTCTTCCTCAAGCATATATTCCTCCCCAGGGGGGGTAGCTGTTGTGTGTGACAACGCGAAGATTGTCGGGAATTCAAGGACCTGTCGGCCTCGAAGAGCTTCTGAGAACGTCATCGAGGAAGAGATGGGGATGAGAACGGCAGCTTTGGTTCGGGACCGTGGGCGATGGAGGTAAAAATGGATTGTAGGGTCAATCTCCGGCAAAGTGCACTCTTTTTTGTTCGTAGGCTCACCCTCCACCTTCATGGCTGGATTCTCAGAGGCAGGTTCGGCTTTTGGAGATGGACCCTCTGGGAAAATCGTTTGGGAGCGCTCTCTCTTATCATGAGGTAGTTCCTCCGTCTTCTTTGGCTCAAGCTCAAATTCTGCCTTTGGTATCACTTTTTCCTCCAGGGGGTCCGAAAGCTCGACAACATCCCTTCTTGCAGGGGCTTTTGTTTTCTCTTCTCAACGAGCTTATGCAGCTTTGCATAGGCCGTCGTTGCAAAAGCGAACCCAATCGTATTGTTTTCCGGGTACTTGGCGATCATTTTCTGCTTATCCGGGAATATCCACTCCACTGACCAGTTCAAACAGCTTTGCCTAGACGATCATCAACAAAACAGAACGTATGCGTGAGTCTCTGATAAGTGCCATACTTTTTACTCCAGGTCGAGTGATTCTGCCTGCTCCTCGTCATCCCCTTCGGCGCCCTCAACATCTCGACTCCACTGCGCTCGATCCGCTTCAACAACGCCTCTTCCTGCGCAAATTCCCCCGAACGTCTCTTCTTCCTCTTCCTTCCATCGTCGTCCAGCACAATGCCCCTGTGCTCCGCATCCCGATCCGCGCGTTCCAAACGGCGCTCGATGCCCGTGATGAAATTGAAATCTTTATCGAACGCAGCCGGCGTCGCGAGCTCCTTCCGCTTGAGATAGGCAGCTGGGTCGCGGACGCCGGAGCACTGGGACCAGAGCTTGTGGCGCTTGGAGCAGGGAAGAGAGCAGGTGCGGGTTGAGCAGCGGGGGCAAGTGTATTTGGGTAGATTGATATGGCTTCAGGTTGATGTTGTCAGATAGCTTTTTCGCACTGCCCAGAAGAAGGGAGCTTACCAGATGGTGCAAAGCTCGGAGAGAGAACCCTCGGCCATCCTGCTTTTAGGGGAGTTGGAACCCCGACGACGCTGCACGGATCTCGTTTCGTTCCAGGGTCCAAGGTGTAAGACTGAAATAGTTGGCATCAAGCTTCGAATTGTTCCCGCAGTTGTGATGGCAGGGCATCTGAAGAATAGTCTCATCTCAAGCTGTAATTATCGATAACACAAGATTATTCCAGAGTTTGCATTGTTTGCACAGTCCTCGCCCATGCAGTATCAACGACTTTTATCGAAAAGGAGAATTGCTACGGGGAAGATAACTACCATATTGCAAGATTAATCATAATTGACATTGTTACAGGGTAGATTTCATATTCGATGTGTTGTCTACTCTGGACGAACTACTCGAATATCGATACTGTCCTTGAATCCCGACAGACGCTGGTCTTTGAAGAGAAATCATACAGGTCAGTTTTGCACAGTCTGTTCTCCTTGCTCGATAATCGCTCTTGCTATGGCCAAGGAGCAGACGGCATCTCGGATGGATCGCGCCCATCTTGGACAGGGCCAGGGGAAAGGTCTTCTGATCCACGTTGCGCAGAAAGCCACCGGCTGCAAGGTCCCATTTTGCTCGCGGGAGCACAGAAATCACCCGAAAATTCGATGCTGCTTGGCAGTCATTTCGCGGAATAAAAGGCAAATGCTGGCAAATCGGCAGCATCTCCACTCCTTGTAACTATTCCAGCAGGGGGTTCAACGCACTCCCATGACAAGACGTTGATGTGCTGACTGCGAAGGCCTACATCCTGGCATCGCGATCTTCGCTCACAGTCGATAGAAGAGTCAGTTGTGCATGTTTATTCAGTGCGATCGAGAACACTTCCTCTCGTACCCAACGGATGAGACTGGCGAGAATTGTGGAGTAACGTTTCAGGAGAAGGACATTCGCAGTTGTTTTCCAAGTCCGTTCTCCCATCAGCATTCGTTCTCTCAAGGCCAATTCTCGAGGATGCGCAATCCAGCACTCCGGGAAGAACCATGGTAACAAAAGCGGGAGACCAATTGATGTTCACTCCATTCACGGTCGAATTTACCAATAAAAAACGGGATTGCTCGACTTGCAACTTGCAGTGGAGCAGACATGCTGATCAGATCTGGTGGCCGGTGTTCTCATCTCAAAGCGCGAGATACAGAACCGGCTGGCTGCCAGAAAGTGCTACACCAGCCAAACCGGCCCTGCTCAGCAGCTGTAGCTCGTCAGGCCGTATGTTTTGTAGTCATCCAGTTTCAATCCTCATCGCAAGATGTGTCGTGAAGAACTCATCGTGAGAACGACGGGTTTCAGACCTTGCATGTCACAGACTTCCAAGAGCGGAGTCTCATCTCAGCAACAAGACGAATCAAACGGGCGAGCCGCCGTGAGCTCCATCGACGGTGCCTAGCGTACCACGACTGAGGAGATTTGAAACTCTCATGTTCCTTTTTCATGGCAGCGACGGAATCGCCGGGTGGAGAGAGACTTTGATGACAGGTGGGCTCGACAGCGCCGCGTCGGGGGGCATCATTGGCTGGCTTGCCGGGCTCGTGGGCTCACGGGCGGTGTGGATGGGGCGTTCTCCCCTGAGTTTGGGCTTCGGCTGCCTGGGAGGGGGGGCGCTCGTTGCTTTTTCCTGGGCCCCTGTTGCCGCTAAAGTAGCCTGTCCGCTAGGGCCTCTCTGGGCTTAGCCGGCATCCAGCCCCAAGCTCAAGTTGCCTCGCCCCCTGGCCGCTTCTTCCCCCCCAAAAACCGCTCTTTTTGCTCTTCTCCTCTGCTCCCTCGCCATCCTGGATCTATATCCTCTCTCTTATCCCCCCCAGTACCCCTTGACAATTCCTCGTCGAAACTCTGCTCTTGTTTGAACCTGAGGAGCAGTGACGGATGAGGCGTACCATCGTGTTTTAAAACGAAGCCTGGAGCTCGTCCTCCCACCGCGGGAACCGTCTTGTTGTCCTGAGCAACGGCCCATCGCCTCTCCCGTTCGTTGATTAGAGACTCACTGCAGGAGTCCGTTGGCAACTAGGTACCATTGATCAATTCGATTTTCATACCTTTCCAGCATTGATTGCATTCAATTGCTTTGTTACTTTCTCTCCCCGTTGCAATCGTTGGGATTCCATTGTGGCTCCTGGTGAAGCGACGTGAGGTTGGGCGCAGGCTCTCCCATCTCAACAGCTCCACGGTGTCTGACTGCAAGCATTTCCCGTATAGCGCCTCAGTCGCATTGTTATACCTTTTTGTCCAAAGACAGCACAGCGCAATATCATCATGGCCCCTTCATTGAGAGATCCCCCCTCGTTCGTCCGTCCGTCCACCCGCGACCGGCCAATGACCCGCGGTGATCAGGGAGACAACTCGCTGGTTATCCCAAGCAGGACCTCCTCTCTGCACTCGCGCATCACACAGCCAATCCCCTCGACTTTGAACATGAAGCCCGCCCAAAGGACGCCCAAGACCCTCACGCACGCCTACATGGTCTGTGGCGTGGGGCGTGAACCGTCCCAGTGGGTGAAGGCTCCCTCTCCATCGCAAGGGAAAATTGGACATATGAAGGGAGCAGTTGGGCAGTTTTGGCTCCCAGAGATTTTGGGGAGCAGCCCACGATTGGAGCAGGACAACGAGATCGCGAGAGCGCTGCATGCGGCAATGAGAGTAAGTATCACCCGTCCAATGGCGGTAGAAACCATCTCTACAGGATCCGACTGATACATATGACAGGCTTGTTTTCCTCATGATGTCGAAATCTGCACTGGCAAAGCCCAGCCTCATTGTGTGCACCATTCATTCGTTCTTCAGCAAGATTCGACTCACACTCTCTACGGGATTGCTCTTCGCGTCTGGTCGCGCGCCGACGAGAAGCGCGCTGAGACTATCAGAGAACTACGCAAGAAGACTGAATCCGATTTCTATGATAACCCAGAAGAAACTTACTGGATCCCATACTGTCTGAGCTTTCTCTCTCGGTACCCGCTATACAACCTGCTAGGCGACTATCTTCGTGGAATGTGGATTCATTGGAACAAAGCCACAAACCTCTTCCATGCAGAGGAGGTCTCGCGCATTCTGAGTTTTCCCGCTCCACGACTTAACGATTTGGTTCGCATTGATATGAAAGACTATGCTCTGTGCTACCAGTTCCCGTCCGTCCCAACCGGCTTTCAGAACTTTGCCATGTGGCCGCTTTTCAACTGCTTGTCTATTCCGAATATTGTGGGCGTAATCGAAGCGGCTGTCTCGCCCACCCGTCGTATCATTTTCGTCAGTCACTATCCCGCGATTCTCACAATTGCGGCTGAAACTATCCGGTTCTGTGTTCGTGTGTACGAATGGAGCGGTTTGTACAACCCTGTGGTGCATGCCCGTCACGTCAAGGAGCTAGTGCAAGAACCCGGTCCATATATCTTGGGTGTTACCGCTGAGTGCCGGACGCTGTTTACTGCACCTCCTGACGCCCTGGTCGTTGATCTGGACCGGAATTTTGTCTTGACCTCCAGCCCACCGAATATCTTGACTCAAGGCCAGAGAACTAAGATGATCAACCGGTTGACTCAGGCACTCAATGGAGACGTTAACCCTAGCGGCGTCCCTCAACATCTCCGCTCTGCTTACGGTGGAGGCAAGCTGGTCCCTGCTGGTCAAATTATCGTGATGAGAGGTGAAGTGGAAAGCATCCAGGATCCCAGTTGGTGGAATCAGGACGCAGTCATGTCCGTGATGGACCACGTCTGTGAGAAATTGGTGAGCATGCTTACCTAGGTTCATTCTCTTTCTTCTCTAACAGTGAGCAGGGTCGCAATACAGGAATGAAGGCAATCTTTGGTGGATCCGTCAAGAAGCCATTGATGACCAAGATCTCCATGAGACATCTTAACGAGATTGTCCGAGAACGGAATCAGTATTCGAGAGACGCTCTCGAAGCCTGGCAGGATTTCATCAACCTCAAGGGCAGAATGGATACCGAGCTTTCCAAGGTTACTAAACGCAACAATTTCTTGGTCGAAGAGCTCGAGACGTGGAAACAACAGGTATGTTCCAGCCTCTCTGCGTTCTACTCTTGTTTCCTACTAATAACGGGACTCTAGTTCCTCAAATTCCAAGCATTCGCCGAGCAACTCACCAAAGAAACGTCCGAGCTCAAAGTCAAGATTGAAAGTCATAAACGCGAGAATCGTCGGCTTACTGCCCTCATCGACCAGCAGAAAGATGATGCCGCACGCCTTACGTTACGTCTCTCAGGCACTGAGAAACAGCGCGATGACGCATTGGAAGCACTTGTATTGCAACAAGAGATTGCAGAGGAGCTGGAGCGAGAGAGGAAACGCAACCAAAAGGAAATTGCTGCTCTTCAGCACACCAGTTCCACTCTGGGACGTCAACGCGATGAAAGCTCAGCGTGTCGTTCTTCACCTTCGCAGTCTCATCAATGGCCAGAGCCACCACATGGAGCACATCATCCGATCTATCAGCAATGTTCCAGAATTATCCGAATACATTGAACAAGGCTTTGATGATCTTCCAGAAGATGATGAAGACCATGATGTCGATGAACGTCGACCCACGCCCCGCAAGTCTAGCGTTAGGCTCAGCGCATCAAGCCGTGCCAGCAGCATTGAAGGCGAAGACGTAACACCCGACATGGAAAGCCATCTCCTTAATCTCGGAAAGCACAAGCGCTACTCCCAGCTCAGCATCACAGACGTCGCAGACCGCCATCTCCGAGCGAAAACGGACGCTATCGCCGACATCATCCGCAACATCAGCGAACAGTGCGCCGCTGCCGTCGAGGGCCTTCACCTCGCTCAAGACGCCGAGTTCGACAGTGAAGCCAACAAACATGGTGACGAGAAACGAAACAACCTCCACCCCACCGAAGATGGGAGCCACGAGTCGTCGTCCCGCGCAGAGAGCGACAATGGCGATAGCCTGCTGACGCCAAACGGGCGAAACTCGAGCGTGTCCAGTATCCCTCCCACTCCCGACCTGGTGCACAACCGCTCCAGCACGTCCATGTCGATGGTGAGCAGCACAACTGTTCCTGAACGGTCCAGCCAGCAGTACGGCCCTGGTGATCTGCCAACCAGAATCGTCGAGGCCGACGATGAGCGTGTGCATGAAGCGGACGCTCACCACGAGACTCAAGGTGGCCCCGTGCAAAAGAGCGCCAGCCGTGATACAATGAGGGCCGGCACCGTGCATGTTGTTGCATAGTTGTCCTCGACAGCCGCAAATATGGAACGGATGATATAGGGTTTTTGTCCTTTTTTTTTTCTTTTCATTCCTTTGATCTACTCTCTGTTTTTCTCTATGTTTGCATATTTACCCGCTGTACTATTCTATTTCATTATTTTTTCCTCTTTCTAAGTTAGATTCCCTTCTTCGTATGTATTCCGGGGTGTATCTGTATTTTTTCTGCTCTTTTCATTTTACTTTCCCTGGCTTCCCATATGTGGGCTATCTATGTACAGAAATCTTTCCTAAGCTTTCCTATTTGTTGTCAGTATGGATTTGTATATCATTTGAGTCTTGACTTCCCTGGCCGTCGGAATCTGGTTCCAGTCAGATGATCTACCTCTCAGCAAGGGAAACTGCTGATCAAAGTTGGCAGAGTTGAAAACAAAAAATGCTATTATCATCTTTTAATTTTCTCTGTTCTCCTCTCTCTATTTCAATTCTTCATTCTGATCTGTAGCTGCAGATTATCAGGCATCAGAAAAAAAAAAAGACGCCGCTTTTAGCAGCTTAGTCTTGATATACTAGAACATAAGTATTGCATGTTGACTCGAATTTCCAGCAACTCTGTAGCCGTCCCCGGCATTCACACTACAATACAGACGCAACGGTACGCATCTTGCAATGAATATCCAGCAATCAATAAAAATCAAAAAAGGAGCACACTTCTGGTGATGGGCAAACCCCATCAGAAACATTGTTTCACCACTGGACGCCTTCATTGATAACGAACACTTACATCCTCATAACCAACGATGCAACTACGAGAAGATATTAGCTCTCCCTGCAAAAAGCTAGATGCCATTTTGCACGAAGTATCATCGAAGTAGTATACCCCAATCAGGTCCTTTTTCCACGCAACGCATTGGTTAGACTATCAATTAGAAAACTTACTGGGCTACAAATATCAAGAAACTAGAACGTTATATGGACTAATCTTGCACAAGGATATGGTAGGACGATTAAATTTCTTCATTTCTACTGATAGAGGGCGCTGATCCAAATATGAAGTGTGTCTCACATACACTGCTTACTGCAGTGCCATAAGCGACAAGAACTGCATCATCATACAATGGGTGGTGCATTCAAGCTTGGATGAGAAAGGCGTTAACCTACTTCCCACCCTCTAAGGAGATTGGGTATCATTGTATCAACTAAACAAGAGAATTAAAGAAAGCTAGACAAGAACGCTATATATATGCAATTCGCTAATGGGGTATCTTGTGACACCGTTGAAACGCCAGGCAGAATCCAGCCGGTGGCTCGAGCCCGCCATCTATCCAGTCATAGATTGTGTGAAGCGCTTCGTGGGTATCATGCATGTCATGTCACAAGGCCAACGCCGATGAAATGCCTGCAGGACGCCAATAATGCTAATGTTGAGAGGAGCAGGAATCGCACGGACGCCGTAGCCCATAAGACCTCCGAGCCGTATTTGTGATGTAAATTAAGGGAAAGCGTAATCGAGTATGCGTGATAGTAACGTCGCCAAAACCCATTGAAATAGGTGCCGCCAAAGGAACTGAGCGGTCCTCAGATTCGAGTATGAAGCGCCTGGTTTTTGACCCACTAACGATCCTCATTATGAGATATAGGGGAGATAATTTCAGTGGCAACGGTGTGCATATCTTCATCACCGGAGCCAGCGAGATCCTCAGCACCATTCAATTGTCGTCGAACGCCTGACTTTGAGGAGCCAATTGGCGACCCACTCCCGATTTCCATATGACTCGGTTGAAGCTTGACGCGACCACGTTCTAATGCTTTAATCAGGATGGAGTTGACCTCATCTGTCACCATGCCCTTGAGCTTATTCATTGCTTCATCCGATGCCTGAGATCCGTTCGCATTCCAGCCCAGCTTGTCCAGGCCTTCCGAAACGATTGAGTTGGCGTCAATGGCTGGGCCACCAGTGATGATTTTGTGCAAATTTGTTGGAGACAAATCATTTGATCGTCGAGATAGTTTGGATGGTTTCGGATTCGCCGAGTTCAGAGAAACCAGTTCGTCATGGCCGCGTTTTTGACGAGCTGGGATGAGGCGCTGATTCGGTCCTTCACCGACTTCATTTCGGATCTTGTAATACACCAGACCCAGAGTTGCAGCTAAAGCTTGGTGACAAGCTTCAGGGAAGAGCCTAGTGGCTTCTGCAAGAGTAAAATCAGATGGTAGGTCGGTTGAGTCACTAGAATCGCTCAAGTACCCATCTTCTGGGAATACTGGATCGTGAGTTTGTGGCATACGGCCCCAGTATTGGTAGCCTTCAAGCTGGTAAAATTCGGCGAGCTCAACGAGTCGATGAACTAAATTCCGAGTAGGAATAAGTACTTGCCAAGGGGACGGAAGGGCGGCACAATGTGCTTACTTCTATTTCTTCGCTTCAAGCACCAAAATTTCCATATAGTCCTGGGAAAGTATTCCGGCCATCTGACGGATCCGTCATTTTCCACGACCGGGACGGGGGTGATTGGCGCATGTACAGTATGTGCTAAGGAGTTGAAACGGACTCGTTCGGTGTGGCTCATCTTGGTCTTGATATGGCCGACCGCGGCCTGAATCTCACCCAAATCAGTCCTCGTAGCAAGAATCGTTGTATAAAGTTGGTGAACGTCAAGGTGAAGCTGATTAACATCGCTTTGCAACCGATTCAGGTTGTTGGATGGGTCGTTTGGCCCAAGTCGATCGACATGGGTACTGAGCTGGAGCATCTCTGCCCTCATTTGAGACAACTCAGACTTCATCTGGCCGACATCAGTCTTTGTCATTCCTACCACGGTCTCAATTCTGGATGCCAACGTCCTATGCGTGTTGAATTCCCGGCGGATGTTTTCATCCTGCCTATTGCGTCGATCAATATAGGCATCTTTGGTCAAGGCATTCAGACGGAGATCTTGGACTTTGGAATCGAGTTGGTTGAGGCGGTCTTGGATCTGGAACAGGGGAGAGTCGGATATCGAGGATTGGGGAGTGAGTTCGCGTTTGATAGTCTGAGGGACTGGCCATGCTGGGTGATCTGGTAAGGAAGTCCACCTCGTTCGATGGTAGACAGCATATTGAACGGATAGCTGGAAGCTGTCTAGTATATCGGAATCGCCATCTTGCGTCGTCGTCGAGCACCCGGTGTCTGCTTGGAGTGTTGATTTAGAGTGTTATCGTCTGATGTTGAAAGAGTCTGCTGGCAAAGTGGTCACTTTTTGGATAGGGCCCGGGCGGGAGGGGCAGAAAGGGCGGTATTTAGCACAAAGGGGCTGATGCAATGCACGCCATGCCGGATTCGGCAGTTGGGTTTGCCTCTCTCGTATTCGAAACAACGCTAGGCCCGATCGAGCATGGATATCCGCGCGACGGCGTAACATGCCCCTGCTTGCTGGCCTGTCGGTCTGCGTGGTCGGATTTGCTTCCCACACACGGTGACACACGCCCTGCTGCTGGAGCGACAAAGACAAAGGCAACTCCCGCCAGAGAGCAGCAGCAAGCAAACCGGGACAGTCACAACCACACAGCAGTCAGTCGCCCTGTCATCCTGCGAGACTGCTCTTCTTCAATCATGCGGCGGCCATCGTGAAAATGACCGCAGAGCCTGACCAACATTCTGTTACCAGCCAGGGGGTGCCACCAACGAAATATCACTATTCCCAAGGCAGTTAGACCGCGAAAAAATGGTCTTAGTTTCTCGTACCAGCAAGCGAGCAAAATCCGAAGCCACACGATTGGTGGAGCAATACGAAGCGGGGCGCTTGCTGTTGGATGATTGGAGGAGAGTGGCCGGACCAGGTCATCTTGCATTAGCGCGGTGGAGCAGCTTGACTGCGGGGCGAGGTGCCCGAGTGTCACACTGGTACGACAGTGGTATGGGGCTAGCGGTCGTCCTGTAATTAATAGCCCCAACATCAGACGAAAAGGATGGTGTCAATAATAGTCATCTCATGCCATCACTCATATTTCAGACCAGATGACTTCGTGTCGTTCTCGCGTGCCAGGGTCGCGGTCCAGGGCGCGCACCCCTGAGTCTGGCGACGGTCATCGTCTCCAAACGAATCATTATTCGGACCTGAAATGATTCATCGAGATTGGGGAGTCTGGATGGATCGAATCATCGTGGCAACCACATGTCAAGGCAGCAATTTCGTCAATAGGATCCAGCGAATCACTCCAAAGACAACTGATTGCGAGACAATCCGCCGCTGTGATTAAAAAGTGTGGCACTTGCGGATGGCAGGAGTTTTGAGAGAGAGACTGAATACTCTGGTTTGCTCCTGGAGTTGGGGGCTTGTGTCTTCTCCATGTGATCGTTTTGCCACTTCACGTTCTTCGAAAAGGCCCCTTGGCCATCTGGTCTGAAATCCACAGTCCTGGTGGTTGGATTGGCAAAAGGTCATTTTCATCCAAAGTATTAACCTCAATAACGGCTCTCGACGCAAGGAAAAGAACACCTGATGTCACCATATCTTTGGTTTCCATGACGGGAGTTCGTGATGAGAAAACAATGATCATACCCTCATCGAGGTATAACCGGAACGGGCTCTGATCCAGTACAGTCCTCAGAGAAGGCCGATGTTGGTTGTGCTTGATCCGAAGACACAGCCAGGCTTCAACGGTCTGGGTCTCAGTTGCAAAGACCTTCACATTTGAGCCTATATCAGTCAGCAAAACGAAAGCGACGATTATATATTAATGAAGAAAGAACGATGTTGAAGCCGCATCGTTCCTTCTCTGGAACACCTATCAGCACCCGCCAGATCGGGGAAGTGCCAGTTACCCTTTTGGGTCTGGATGAAATAGGCAACCGCGTTCTTGGCAGAGGAAGCGACGACTCGTCCACGTGACACTAGCGCTTTGATTGGCTGGCCGCTCCAAGCCCCTTTTCCACCACATCTATTATCATGATAGCTCAAGTCTGTCGTGATCCCTACAATGCACTCGTATGTATGTACATACATTAGACACAGCACCTCTGGGTGCTCTGGCTAGAGAGCCAATGTCTGAATCAATGGCGGCTGAAATAGTGGCCAGTCACTCTTGCCTTCCGAACCCAAGCAGCATGTTCCAAGGAGCCCTTTCCATGGTGCTTCGTAACAAGAGCGCCCTTTTCCTCTCGCACCCGGGCCATGGCTATTCTTCTCAAGTCGCTCTGATTGTGACTTTCAACGCTGTTATACGTCAGTGAAATTCTCCACTGTGCTCAAGGCTTTTCTATTCTCTTCTAGCGGCCACTCCACGATGGAGAGCCTGCTTTTCCTTATCCTCTTCGGGATTCTCCTAGCTTTGCTACCAGCCTCAGCGGACTGTCGGAGCACCCCGAAGCCAGACGG